TCTTCTTCTTCTTCTTCTTCTTTTTTTTTTTTTTTTTTTTTTCTGTTAGGAGACAGATTCTCACTGTGTTGCCCAGCCTGGAGTGCAGTGGTGTAATCACAGCTCACTGCAGCCTCCAACTCCTGGGCTCAAGCAATCTTTCTGCTTCAGCCTCCCAAAAAGCTAGGATTGTAGGATACAGGTCACAATCATCCCTGGCTAGGTAAACACATATATGTACACAAACCCACAGGCACACAGACACACATATTTTTTTCTTTTTTAGAGATGGGAGTCTTTCTATGTTGATCAACTTGGTATCAAGCTATCCTCTCACTTTAACCTCCTGAAGTGCTGGGAGTACAGTGGGACACACTGTGACTGGTCTTTTTTTTTTCTTTATTTTCTTAGCGATTCCTTCTCATTAAATGTCTGGTAGCATTCACCAGCAAATATCCTCTACCACTGAGTCCCAAAAGATGGTTCTCCTGGGACCATCTTTTGAATGAACAAAGGGTCACTAAAGGAGAAAATGGACTTTTGGATGAACAAAAGGTGACTAGATAAGAAAGTGGACTTCCAATGTTCAAAGGGAGAAAAGAATGTCTTTCTTTTGACAATGATTCTTGGCTTGGCCCATCTTTGGATAAGCTCCTGAGCCCTCCTGGGCCAATCTGCATTTCCATGTATAATGCAGGGTTTGCAAAGAGCTTGGTAAGTCCTCTTAGCAAGAATAGCCTCAATATATGATGATCCCCCACAACCCCCAGGTGCTGTCTGATGTCCCTGGCTTGCCTTCTGGGAGGTGGGTTTGGCCAGAAACCCCCTTACCCTTTGTGTTTCTTCTTAGTAACGTTCCATCCACAGTCCCCCACCTGCTCCTTGGCTATAATTCCTGCTTGCCTGTGCTGTATTTTTCCCAGGCCAAGGAAGGTCAAAGATTATCAGCAAACCACCAGAAGCTGGAAGAGCCAAGGAAGGATCCTCCTAAACGTGATCCAGACCCTGCCAGCAACTTGATTTTGGAATTCTAGTCTCTAGAACAGTGAGGTAACCAATTTCTGTTTTAAGCCATCTAATCTGTAGTACTTTGTTATGGCCACCCTGGGAAACTAATACACTGGCTATCTCAGTACTAAAGATTGCATCTTTTCCTCTGGCCCATCTTGCTGATCACAGCAACATTCAGAAGATGATTATGTAGATGAGAAGGGATAGTAGAGAAGTCAGGACTTGGACCAGAGAAGGAGCCAAGGAAATGGGCATGGCAAGTGGAGGGCTAAATTGAAAGGTCAGAGGAGATGTGGCTATGAATGGCACAGTCAGCAGAGGCTACAGGGGAAATTGGTTTTATTTTGAGCATCCAAGTTTTCCTGAGCTCAGTCTCCAAACACTTGAGACATTTCATTCTGAGAGGCTTCCTCTCACTTCAGGAATGCAGATCACATCCAGAGTCCAGAATCAAAGGCTGAGCGTATCCTCTATGGGCAGCAATGTCTCCTTCACCACACCACATCCTGCTCAACTTTTTCTTCCAAGAGACCCTGAAGCACATTTAATGATGTTTCAGCTGGGGTGGGAATGGGAGGCCTGAGTCCTCATCCCCCCAGGAGGACATGAAGACTTGTTCATAATCTTGCAGGTGATGGTCACTCTGCTCTCCCTGACCTTGGCATGGTCTGAGAGACACTGTGGATTTTAATGAGAACTAAGCCATCACCTTATTTCTTTTAAAAGTCTGTTGTTAAAAGAAGAATGTATTTGCCTCGAGGTTTTTGTTTCTCAATATAAACCGATTGAGGATCTAGGATTCCTCTGGAGGAAGGGGAGGCATTCCCTCCCTGATTGGCCAGGGACACACCCATCCATGCACATATGTGCAGGCACACATGAAGGCACATATACCTTGGAAACCCCTACACCCACACTGATACACCTACCTGGAAACCTGGAAATGCATGACATATCACACATGTACACATGCATGCACACACGTGTCCTTGTCAGGCTTACACTTTAGAGGCTATACAGCTGGGAGGAAACTAGGAGAGGAACCAGGAGATGTCAAGGGAGGAGTGTGGTAGCAGAAGGGAAGGGTACATTAGGACAAGAACCCACATTTCCCCGAAAAGCAGGGAATTCCCTTCCCAAGCTCAACTCAGTCCCATATCCTAGCATTCTGTCCTGGGGACCAGAAATTGATTCTCCAGCAATTGAACCAGATAGACCCCAGGCTTATTATACCTTTCCATCAGGGGTTGGATTCTGTAGGGGCCAGAGTTGAGAGCATGAGTTCCCTGTGGTCTTCCTGGACACATCTCTGTTCAGTGATAAGAGTGGAATGAGGTACATTTTTGGGCTTCAGAAGTCTATGGAGAAAAATTTATTAGAACAGGAGGGCAAAGATACACCCCATAAAACAACCATGGAGGGGATCAGTATGGCAAACAACAAGTCAGCACCCTGTGAATACTGAAGGACCCCTCAACTCTGTTTTTATTCCTCATCTTTACTCATGGAAGTAGAGGATTGTTTAATTAGTTATGCCTGCTCTTTACACTTTGGGGGATCCAAGGGATCACTAGACTTTCTCTGAAGCCTTCTCAGAGCTAGAGTATAGAGGTAGATTGGGGCCACATTTGCTTCCTTGTAATTGTGGAGCTATGGTTTTATTACTAATAACTTCCTCACCCTTCTTGACAATGTCAGACTTCTCCTCTGTGTGTGTTCCCTCATGTGTGTGGAAGTTTGACTTATGGATGAATCTTTGCCCACAAGACCTACAGACATAGAGCTTTTCCACTGTGTGTCTTCTGCTGTTTGAGAAGGGTTGCCTTATGGCTAAATCCTTTCCTACATTCCCTAAAGACACAGGCCTTCTCCCCTGTCTGTGTACTCTGGTGTGCGAGGAGGTTTGATTTATGCCTAAATTTATGCCTACACTGGCTGCAGATGTAGGGCTTCTCCCCTCTGTATGCCCTCTTCTGTGTGAGGAGGGTTGACTTTTGGCTAAAACCTTTCCCACAGTCCCTGCACACATGGGTTTTTCCCCCTGTGTCTGTCCTCTGGTGTGTGAGGAGGTTTGATGTGACTGAATCCTTGCCCACACACTCCCTGCAGATGTAGGGCTTCTCCCCTGTGTGCTTCCTCTGGTGTGTGAGGAGTGTTGACTGATGGCTAAATTCTTGCCTACACTTCCTGCAGGCATAGGGCTTCTCCCCTGTGTGTTTCCTCTGGTGTTGAGGGGGGTTGACTTAATGAAGCTTTTCCCACACTATCCATTAGCAACTTTTACAATTCTTGAGATTCCTATCTTCACGCATAAATGGGTGGTTTCCCCTGGACCCACATTCTGGCCTGGTTGTATCATTCTTTCACCCTTCCTAGAGCTCCCCATTTGTTCTTTAGGTGGGTGGGAAGATATCCCTGAAATCCTGCTATTTTTTAGGGACGGGTCTCACTCTAGCTCAGGATGGACTCCAACTCCAAAGCTCAGGCAATCCACTGGCCTCAGGTTCCCAGAATTCTAGGGCTACTGGGGTGAGCCACCACAGTAATACATCCCTAAAAATTGAGTACACCCACATCATGTGCCTTCTCTACACATCAGCCAGGCCACGACCCTCCAGTAGCGTCATAGGCAGGTTGGCTCCTTACATAGATGGAGTTGCAGTGACTTTTCCTCCATATACTACAAACATCTTCACAGTCATTTGAGACCTTCCTTGACACCTGCACGCCCACCTGCCTCAGGGCTTCCTTTCCTCACACTGATCCCTAGATCCTTCACAGTGTGTGAAGCCATTTCATTCTACTGAGAAATGACACACTTGATGACTTAGGAGAGATCATATCTAATGACTTTTCCTATGAGAGGCAAGGGGTCTGTGAAGTTAGGAGCCAGTTGCCTGGAGACCCATGAATGTGGAAGGCAGCATGGAGTTGTGTCTAAAGTGAGTTTGTGTGAATGAGTCCGAATCTGAGTCTCCCTGTTCAAAAAGACATATTTGACTGAGGACTCTTATGTGCCTAACTCTCCACCAGGAAGTGGGATTCAGGTTGGACCATACAGAGTCATCCAGATCCCACTGACCAAAGGGCTCTAGGTCTTGCTGCCCCAACAAGGTCATGGATTGCCACAAATCACAAAATAAAAATACATCCTTCCTCAGCCCACACAGCAAGCGTTCATGCTTGACTTAATGTCATTCCTTCTTAGCCTGTTTTAGAGTATGAAGTCCACTTTAACAGGTATCCTTAATCAGACTTCTTACCTCCTGGACCTCCACCTTCATCTCTCTCACCTGGAGACTGAGAAGCCCTGAGAGGATCCCTCACTACAGTCTATTGTCTGAAAATTAACCATAGCATCATCTCAGAGTGGAGAACCAAGCAGAAAACTAAAAGTTCCACTGCTGTTACCATTCCACTATGGAAAACCCCAGTGTCTTGGCATGAATCACAGGCCCTATGTTTCCAGGCTTCTCTGTGTCTCTCCAACTTGTGCTCTTACCCTGTCTGGTTCCTTCACCTGAGTGCTCTCTGACACCCTAACTCTTCCCTGCCCCAGGGGCATTACACCAGCTCCACCCTTTGCCCCAAATCCTTTTCCTGCTGCTGTTTGCACCTCTTAAATGCCACCCCCAACTGGAACCTTACCTGAGTACCCTGTGACACTGCACCCTCTCCTCACACTCATGCCTGGGCACCTTTCCTCCACTAGTGGTCTCCAAAGCACTGATCCTGATATGCATATGTCTCTACGTGTGTGTGTGTTGTCTCCTTGTTCATGTGTCAGCAGCCGAGGAACAGAGATTGTGAGCGTCTCCTTCAAGATCCAGTTCCAGCTCCTGGAAAGCTGGTACAGAGCAGGAATTCACAGACAACTAATTGGGATACTGAGTGAATGAAAACAATAGAAGCATATTATGTAGAAATATGGAGGAATTTAAAAAGAACCAACTAAACGGGCCAGGTGAAACTACATTGTTGAGAGAGCTGGTAGGTAAGACACATTGTTTTTTTCCTGCAAGGTTTTCAGCACCATCTGATGTTATAAATTTTGTGCCTGAAGTGTTTAGAATATGAAATGAGAGCAAAAATCTAAACAGTTAAAAGTTCTTCCTAGAATTCAAAGGCTCATGACCTGAATCTTTAATTTCCAAAGCACCTGACTGGAAATTTGACTGACTTTAGACTATGTTTTACTCTACTTAGGAGTTGAGCTAGGCTTGGCACAGTGGCTCATGCCTGTAGTCCCAGCACGGTGGGAGGCTGAATAAGAAGGATCATTTGAGGCCAAGAGTTGAAGGGGGCATTGAGCTATGATTATGCTACAGCCCTCCAGCCTAGGTGACAAAGTGAGATCTTTTCTCTAAAAAAATAAAATAAAATACAAATAAATGAAAATAAAAATACAGTACAAAAAGAGCTAAACCATGAGAATTCACAAGGAGAAGCATTCCTTCTATTTCCTTCCTAGGGAGACATCATGGTACCCACCTTGTCCTGCCGTGAGTTATTTCTTCTGCTTGCCGGTCCACGTGATGCCCAGTTTCTTGCCATACTCAGTCCCATACCAGGTCAGCAGTTCACAGCCTGGCCTGATGACCCGGCAGGTCCGATAGAAGATCTGGCTGTGGTACTGGAAGGCCTCCAGGTTCTTTTCCTCGTCATCCCGGGCACAGTTCACATACCTGCATTGAGCATAAGAGGAAAAGAAGGCAGGCAGTGAGTTCCCATTACCTGTCAGGCTCGCATCTGGCTTGTCCCCTGATGGTCAAGGCCTCCGTGCTCCAGTGCTACACACTTCCCACTGCTCCCAAGACCACCCTCTGCCCACACCCAAGTTTTTTCAGTGTTCTATGAATTCCTGCCCCTAGGTTCTGCTCACAGGGCCCTTCCTGCCTGGAGTGCTCCCCCCACCACCTCTTTAACCATTTTTCAAAGCCCAGTTCCAGACTTTCCTCCACTTTCATTGCCCATAGGACGAGGTATCATCTAGCTTCTCCAAACCCTATGCTAATTATACCACAGCACCTACTGCTTGCTCATGTGCTCTGCTTTTAGATTAGCGCACACTGTTCCACACTCAGCCCAAGTCGGCTTTGTCATGATGAGAGGCTACCCCAGTCTGTCCACAGTTTACCCAGATTCTGATAGAAACGTAGAGGACTGTCCTAGTGGAATAGCACAGAATAATATTTGTTTATTAATATTCTGTGTCCTCTCATAATGTGAGAGCTCCTCTTGACGAGGGGCTCGGCCTTGCAGCACAGATGCCCAGGACTGTCCTGTAGCTCACTGACTGGGCTGTAGGGTCCGGTTTTAATTTCCCTAAGGACAAGAAGATTTCCTGTCCTCAAATTAAAGTTCCTTTGTTTTATGCTGTCTTGACACTGTGTGTGGCTTCGAAAATTATGGTCAAATATTCCCCTAATTAAATGTTTTGTGTCTGTCTGCAGTACATGCCCCACAATGACATGAGATGTGTTATCGGTTCAAGTAATGAGCTTCATTTTTTAAACTGGGACAGAATGAGTGCTTAATAAATGTCAACCAGATAAAATAAAATGTGAATTCAATGTCCCCGATGAATCTAGGCTCTTCAATGTTTATCCTACTCCCTCAATGTTGTGTATCCTAGAGATTTATATTTTGATAAAACTAGTAACACTTATATTTTTGTTTCTTTTTCTAAACGTGTGTGATGTTCAAGAGCATTGTACGGAGAAAAATGGAGGGAATGGATACAAAAGCCACTGAAGGATGTGTGATGAAAAGGAAAGCAAACTGGGCTTGTGAGAGACAAATGCACTCTCTGGAACCCAGAAAACCACTGTCCTTACCTCATCCAGTTGCCCTGAGATTGATCCTTCCCATCCACATACTCATAGCAGTTTCTCCCCTTTGTGATCTGAGTTTCAATAAAAGAAGTTAAAGGCTGTTTAGAGGGTAGTAATCAGAAGACTTAATTTTCTCTCCTATCATTAGCGCCCTGGGAGACTGTGTGGACTCAGCTGCCAGCCTTAGGTTTCAGCTCCATGTCTGAGTCCTACTGTCCCGTTGGAGCACAGGTCCACAGGGAACATGTGCCTCTTTGTGCCACTGTGGTTCCACATACTCTCTGATCTTTAATTTGGAGTTCCCTGTCCATGCAGAGACCATTGGAAACACAGAGCCAACTGTGTTATTTCTGTGCATGTCCTCCCAGGTAGAGGGTGACTTCCAACCAAAGGAACACAAGGGTTGTGGAAAGCCAGAATAGGGGAAAGGGTAGGCACTTCTCACCTTCCAGGCGTATCCACTTCTGGCTGCCTTTTCATCTTCTAAGACCTGGCCCTCATAAGGGCCAAAGTGCAGCCCCAGTGGCAGCTCAGATGCGTCGTTCCATACTCCATCTCCAGCCTGAGGGATGCCCGATTGTCTAATACTCAGCCCAGGGGGCAGGGTCAGGGCTGTGCGGTTGGGATGCCCCTTATCCACTGCAATGTCCTTTACAAATGTAGGGGGCCCGTGAATATCACAGCGGTCAATGAAGTAGTCCTGACAC